ATGGAAGAGCTAGGGAGAAATCCTGCTGATTTAACCCAGTGACCGACTGCAGCAGCCTCAACATTTTCTGGAACTGGCTCCAGAGCCACCTTGCACGCACGATGAGCAGACTTTCAGCATAAAAGTGCTACAAATGTGAAAGCTTCAAACTAGAAGCTCTTTCCATATTGCCTATTTGCTATGGTATGCAAATTCTGCAAAAACACAGTTCCAAGTCATTCTAATACTGACCACAGTGTCACACATCAGCAACATTATACACCAGCAATGTGGACTATGCACAGAAAGCAAAAATAGGCCAGATTTATTTAGTTCGCTAAACATAACCTCTGTATCTGTCTAGGTAATCTATTGATACTGAAGTTTAAAAGTAATACTAAAATTAGAAAGAATCCAGAAAATGGTTGGTGAATCTAGATATTCCCTTTTATAGGCCATTTTCTGCTGTGCATTTGCATGCGTGTGCCTGGGTCTTGATGCTCTTACACAGCCTTCAGAGCTGAAAAAGGCCACAGAGGATTTAAGTGAATTGCCCAGTACTCTATGACTTGCAGCAGAGCCAGGAACAGAGCCCCAGAACACTCAGCACTTCACAGCAGTCATAATACTTCCTTTTTCTTTTTCCAATTGAACACTTGGGGTATTTCTGCCTTTCTGAACACCATGCATGCAGAGGAGAACAAAATTAAAGTGCTATGAGTGTTTTAACACCATCTGATAGTTGTGCTGACTTACACTGGAGAGTGTCAGAAGGCTCACATTTCAAAATAGAGCTCTGGACCTGGGGCAAATCACTCGGGAGCCAGTCAGTGGACCAAGCTGGTGTTTTCTATTACTGCCTTTCTGCTCTCTTGGAGCAATATCCTTGCACGCAGACCCTCAGAGAGGTCTCCTGCACGGYACTACCTTTCTCCTATGCTCTGTGCCTTTCAGTTAGGCAACTCAAACACAGGAGGAAGACAAAGGGAGGAGAAACATTCAGTAAAATCACCCCTCTGCATTTCACTTTGAGGCAACCCTCCGCAAGTTGCTGTTTATAATGAATCTAGTCTTAAGCAGGGCATGTGGGTGTTTTGTTTTGTTTGTGCTGACTGTGCAAGCTGATACTTTGAGCAAATTGTCCGGGGAAAGCAAAGAGTCCTTCATAGCGTCCCTCACTGCCAAGTGATTTGGCAGATTCCTCCACGAGATGCACAATGCGATAGGTTCTGCTAGAGCGCAGCTGGCCACTTCCCAGCAGAACAGCTCAACTTAAACAATTTTAAAATCTTATTATAGCCAATTTGTGGTTTTGGCTGAGGAAAGACGAGGGATACAAAAAATAGAGGCAGCTGGGTGTCAAAGAAGGATGGAGGAGTGATGTCATTTTCATTGCTGTGCCACACGAAAAAAAAGCACTGGCTTTGCACCCACCCTGGGTCTCATTAAAGCCAACACATGCCCTGCTTTGAGGCACGTGCGTGAGGTACACCTGCAAAGATGATTTCATTTGTCTTCGCATTCCTCTGGATGTMCAGGATAATATATTGCTCCCACACAGCCAGAGGCCGTGAATCAGAGGGCAGGGTCATTTCGCCCCGCTAGCTGCTGCTGGCCCAGCCAGAGCCTGCACAGAGCCGCTGCTGGATCCCTTCAGCTGCAGCACAAGGGAGACCAGCCCCATCAGCTCCGAGCTGTGCCCCGTTCCTTGTTGTTTTTTAAAAACATAAGGACTCTCGTAACAGAAAAGGGTCATTGCCCAACTGGGGATGACGAAGGGGCCATGGAGCAGCCACAGCATCTTTGACCCCTTCCCTCCACCTCCCAAGGGGGTCTCCTAGGGAAGGAAGRCTCTCCTTTCTGCAGGATCCCCCAAAGAAGCACAACAGGCTGTTGTGTAGGCTTAGGTCCAGGCAGAGATATGCTTGAAGGAACAGACACCAGCCATTGCTTAGAGAAAAATCTGTTTGATGACCCCCCAGATGTCTACCTGCACTCATTGCATTAGTCTTTGAAATGTCCATGTGAAAATACCAATAGCTRTTGTAGACCAAAATAGTAACATAGCAGGAGAAACACCAGACAGTTTGTTTTATGGAGTAAACCTGACAAAACACTTCTAAAGTATAGCACAAAATTATCACCTACCCAGACAGAAACAAACTAAAAATGCAGGAAAAAATTGCTCATGTTATGGTTTGCAATCCTATTTGAATATAACTTCAAACACAGTAAGAAWCCCGATAAGGTTTTGCAAAACTTGCATAGCCAAGCGCAGAAACAGTGCCAAACTCTACCTGAGACTAAAAGAAACAGGACAACATATGGTAACAGGGTAACAACATAATATTTTACCATTATGGAAAATGGCATAATGTTGCTAAATTAACTCAGAACAAGTGCTTCATTGCAAAAAGAAAAAGGAAAAATCCTCTACTCTAGAAACCGCAGGATCAAAACACCAACAAGGGTTTACATTAACAGCTTCATATTGGGTTGATACGTGAGGAAAGGCAATAGGAGGTTAATTGCTTAAACAGGGCAAAAGTCAACATTTGTGAAATAAGAGGCTTTAGGCTAATACTAAGCATCAAAGAATGTCTTCTTGCTCTCTCTGCCACTGAATTAAGAAAAAATCTCGAGTGCAAATAGTGTTCCCCCTGCGTTTGGGTGGGCACCAAGGCAGAGTGTCCCCAAGCATGCCCTGCCAGGCAGCGCTGCCTCCTCAGACATGAAGGAGCAGCCTGTTTCTTRGAAATGTTGATGTAACTCAGCTGCGCTGCTGCAGCCACACACTAAATAAATGAGCTCAGGACCTTTCAGACCAGTAGAGTGTCTCACCCAGGTTTTGCCTTCCACCAAATACTTTGACAAACTTGCAGCTTTGTTGGAGCTGGAGGCTGCGGGGAAGGTTGGAGAGGTGCCTTCACTGCTGTCAGTACTAATGATGTTTCTCACTAGAGAAAATGAGSTTTTTTTTGAGAATCCAGATTCCCTGTGGGGCACAGTTTGGAAAACTGGAGATAGGGGAAGGAAAATACCTACTAGGGCAAAGTATAAACATCCATAAAGCACAATAGTGAAACACCTACAGAGAATGTTGTAGTGTTGCCAGCAGAGTAATTAAAGTCATCGACTGAAGAGGGAGCTATGACAGATGAAAAGTTAAAATAAAAATAAATCAGAAGTTTAGTCTAGAGACTGTACCAGGAAATTACCTCTGGAGTCAGGTCTCCTACATTGTTTCGCTGGTTCTGCTTCCGATTTGCTGAGCAAGTCCAAGAGGCCGAATTTTCCAAGTCACATCTAGTTAGGAATTCTTCCCTCGGTGGTGCCCAGCTACACACACACACACACACACACACACACACACACACACACACACACACACACCCTTCAGTGCCCTCCAGTGCCTTTGTGAGGGCAGAGCTTTTCAGCTTGATGCCTCTGAAGTCAATTGCCTAAACTTGAGACACCTGTAGCCATCACCCCCTCCATTCAAAGCAGTCATCTCCAAATATTTCCCCATCTGTAGATTGTGGCTAGTGAAACATATGACCGTGGGAGTTTGATGTTTAAATACTGTTTATGGCTGGCATAACATACTGCAGTGGGAGTGTGATGTCTAAGCATTGTTTATAAACATTTGCAAAGCTTCAGGCACACTGTGCTTCCAAAGTCTGTGCTCTGCCTTCTGGACCTCCACTCCTTCCAAAAGGACTGCTGCTTAATAAGGGTAGATGACTAAGGGAAGCCACATTTACAGGTCTGACTATAGGACAAGTTTGAGTACCACTGAAACTGAGAGCTGTATAATACTTTGCTACTAGTCAGATAACACTTCCCAAGCTGAATCAACAAATAAAGCAATCTCTGAAGCATCAACAAATAAAGCAATCTCTGAAGCCTCAGGGCAAAGAGGGAAAGACCTCCACCATAAGAAGTCCCTGTGCTGAGTTCCTATTGAATTCCTTGAGAACTAAGGGAAGACAGCATGTGGCTTAAGATGTGCTGTGAATTCCTTAGAGATAGAGCCAAATTAAGTGTCCCAAATAAGGATGGCTCCTTACTAACACTACAGAAAAGAGGGGGCAGAAGAGGTTTGGGGTTCTCTTCCTGTGTTCACCAGTAAGCAGGATGGCTGTGCTCAGTGGTCTGTTCCCACTTCTGGCCACACGCAACCGTTKAAGGAACACAGCACACAGCATCTCTGTGAGCCCTGGGAGCTAGAGTCCCCAAGTCCCTGCCAAGCTCAGGTCTTCTGCCAAGCACCTGCTCTTTCAACCCATATTTTCWCATAGAAAACAATTTGAACCTCCACGCTGAGAAATTGTACAAGCTCCCGAAACAAAACAAACCCTTTCCCAGAATGACAGGCCATTTAAATTTTGTAAACTTAATCTGGGAACCTTAAAAAATGCCCTGGAGGTAATTACATACAAATGGACAAAGAACCCTTTGCTAGGTGATGGTACCATTCTGCCACTGCCCAYGAGACAGCATCTCCTGCGAGGCAACAACAAAAAATGCAGCCACTATATGGGCAGTATATCAACATCTTGAAACGCTCAGGTCTCTGGGAATAATGGCCACATCTTCACAACTATCTTCAAAACAGCTGCACGTAATGCTCTCTTGCCCCCCAGCATATCAAGGTATTACCTGTGTTACCATCCTGTCAGACATTTTGGTGAGAATATTTAGAGATATTGAATGTTGACTAAAAAAGCCTGTTTGCAGTAAGAATATTTAGACACCATAACAGCGCATTATATTTGGAGATCCCTTCTTATTTACCTCACAAGGTAGAGATCAGTGAAACATTTTTACAGGGAGGGAAAAACAGTGGGGTTAATCAAAAGTGTGTCTTTGCTCCTCAACCCCAGTTTGCAATTTCCTATATAACAATAATCCTCATGCTAATGAATTGCCAATACCTCCTAATAAAAACTTACTTTTCTACTGCTGTCTCCTGAACTGCTTGGTCATTTATTACTGCTTCCCTTTCTTTGTTTTTTTAGGCTCGCCCAAAAGGAGAAGGTCTGACTCCATACCAGGGCAAGAAACGCTGCTTTGGTGAATACAAGTGTCCTAAATGCAAGAGAAAATGGATGAGTGGAAACTCCTGGGCTAACATGGGACAAGAATGTATCAAGTGCCACATTAATGTTTATCCCCACAAACAGGTAGGAGAACTGCAGACCTGCTGACATACAGGCTTGGAACTAGGCACGTGCCTGYTGAACTTCTAAAACTTGGGTGACTGAAACACACCAATGTAAGAGAACAGGACAAACCAGACAGCTTGTTCCTAGTGAATATCATGAAGAGCTTTTGTGCCACTGTCTATGGCTTTCCATGAATATCAGCACACATTATGGTGGTGCATATAACACACCACAAGAACTCCTCTCAGTCCTAGTAGAACTGGTACCATCAAGGCTGCAGAATCTTAATGTCCCACCTTTCAATAAAAACAGCTCCAGAACAAAATCTACCTATTTCTGCCATAAATATAGACCACAAAGTCTTAATCTTGGATAAAGTCATCAGAAAATAGAGTAAAACAAAGCACAGCAGTAACAGCAGGCCTCATAAAACATATAATTCTTTTCATATTTACACCAGTTTAATATTTTTATTCCGTTGGTGTCAGTGCAGTTATTGCCAATGTTTACTTCATTTTTTGTCCTTTGTTGGGCAGGGTTGAATTTGGTAGAGAAGTTATGTCTGTTTATCAAGATTAATGATAAAAGAAGAATGCTAAGATTAACTCCTGCCAACAAAATCCCTTAGTTAAAAACAGTTAGGCAAGCCAGCGCAGCCAGAGAAGTTTCCCTATTTCAGTAATCCCGAGGATGCCCAAGCAGTGAGTGCCTTTTATTAAGCTGGAAAGTCAAATCTAAGCAACAGCTTTGCTAGGAATCCCACATCTGCAAAGAGGGAGAGTTTAGCCGTCTTATCAGCTATAGCATGACCTTCCCTCCTGCAGACTGAAGCTGTGTATCTCCCTTTCAGCAGCTTCCTGACTCACAGCTGCATTTCCAGCTGCCCAGCTTTCCATATCCTGATGTAAAACCTGGCTTCCAGGTTCCTGTTTTGCCCCATCACAATTGGTTGCGGTCGGACAACCAGTTCAGTGGTTGTTAATGGGAGAKAGGCCAACTGGATGAGCTCATACTTGTCAAATCAGGCTGACTTTGTCAAAGCTGAATTTCCATTTAGAAAGTCAGTTTTGACACCATGAAAAATACGTTTGACCAATACGTTTTGCTACCTTGCATAACCAGAAATTAACCATTTCTAGCTCTCTTCTAGGAAATGGTTTAAGAATAGCTGCTAAATGCATGATACCTAGGATTAATCCTACCAGTTCCAGTACTATCAAATATGAGACATCTGTGAATACAGCTTTCTGAAGAAGTCCAACAGTATTTTACCTCAAGATAGCTGATAYAGAGCAAAGGCAAGAAACATCATGAAAAAGTTTGAATGTGATTTTGCAATATTGTAGAAAATTGCTGTGAATRGAAAGAGTTACTTTAGAAGAATTCAGGAGATGTTGTTTTCCTCAGATGTAACTCTTCGTAGCTGAATCTCAGCAATAGAGCTCTGCATGTGTCAAGTTATCAGCTGTCCACTCATACAAAATAAATCACAGACAAACTGAACAGATGTGCTTGCAATAGGTGGAAGAGAAATTCCTCCACGAGCCTTAAGAGCCTAATTAGCTACCTAGGTGCTTGTAAAATCCTGAAAAGCTTTTTCTGTGGGCAGTTCATACCATTCCATATGACTGGAGGTAAAAGGATGAGGGAAARCATTCTTCTTGTCCAAAGACTATGGCAAGAAGAGGGAAACACATAGAGCGACAAGGAGGAAAAGGAGATAGAAATAGGTTTACTGAGATTTATCCCACCCAGTAATAACTAACTGACCATATTTCCTCCTCTTATACACATATAGCAACACTGCACTGCCATACGTACCCAAGACATTGATTTGGAACTGCTAGTGCCTTGCACCAATATGCATTTCGGTCAAAGAATGCAGGGTCTGAAGTCCTCCACACTGCAGCCCTAAAGTACCTATTTCCCACCTCCTCCATTAGCTTTGCATTTTAGTAGAAGCCTTACTTTAAACTAAGAGTAATTCACCATGCGATGCTTTTTTTTTCTCTCTTGTATAGTAGGAATTATTCTAGTCCACAGTAAATGTATGGCTGAGCCAGTCAATATCATTGCTTCTGCTTACAATCTGAGAAGATATCATTTGTCCTGCTATCTGTCTCTGGGCTAATCAAACTCAATCCAGACCTAAAAATGAGAATTTTGTCCCC